AAAAAAAAAAAAAAAAAAAAAAATATTCCGGCGAACTGATAACCTCCTCCTTTTTTGGAAGTCGGTTAAAAAGAAGTTTTGTTCATGCGTTATATGGAAGCAAATGCGCAACACCCTCCGCAAAACAAAATCTAAAAAATCAACGGTAATATTTAGCGACTTGAAACTTGCAATTAAAAAAAGTCGAAATTTCGATGAACATTTTTTTTAGTTTAGTAAGTTTTTGTGAACTTTGTGCAAGCTTTAAAACTTTAACTGATGTGGTTGGTAAGTTGCCAACAGCATCATTTTGAATTTTGCTGCTATTATTTTGAACGCCACTGTATAATTGGTTTGAAAGTGCAAGGAAGAAAACAGGTTTTCATGCAGCAATGAAAATTCACATACTTACATATGTATGTATGTACATACATATACATATAATATGTATGTATGTATATCATTTACTTTATATAGGAAAACAAAGACTACGGTGACTGCCGCACTTCGTTGGGAGAGGTTGGCCGTTGCCGACACCCACTCTATTGCCGCATACCTGAGTTGAAAAACGATGTTTGGCGCTTAATCTCGCAGTTGTGCATTATTGAACAAAAGTATCCATATTTTTCCCTTTTATTGTTAACTAAATAAATTCATTGCTATTCTCGTTTTAGGTCTATAGGCGTCTGTTGCACTGACAACACCGAGAACCGTTCCAGTCCCCAAGTTATTGCTGATGTTAACAATAATGGCTTGGAGGAGGCACGCATTGTCAACAAGCCCGAGCAACGAGGTTGCGGACTTACCACCAAACAATTTCCACGCATTACTGGCGGCCGTCCAGCGGAACCGGATGAATGGCCGTGGATGGCTGCGTTAATACGTCCCGGTTTGCCATATGTGTGGTGCGGAGGTGTGCTTGTCACTGATCGCCATGTCCTGACAGCAGGGCACTGCGTCCACAAATTCAATAAAAATGATATATTCGTGCGCTTGGGCGAATATAATACGTTGTTGGTTAATGAGACACGTGCGCGTGATTTTCGCATTGCGAATATGGTGATACATATCGATTACGACACGCTAACTTACGAGAATGATATTGCGCTGCTACGTCTGGATCGTGCTACACTCTTTAACACATACATCTGGCCAGTTTGTATGCCCCCTATTAATCAAATTTGGGAGGGGCAGGTGGGCGTAGTCACTGGTTGGGGTACACAAACTTTTGCCGGTCCCCATTCGAATATTCTTATGGAGGTAAACAGTCGTATAGCATTGATTTCATTGTTTTCCATTTGCTTTCAATATCCTTAGGTACTGCTGCCAATTTGGAAACTTTCCGACTGTCGAAAAGCGATGGTTGAGCGCATTCCGGATACAGTACTGTGCGCTGGCGTTCGTGAAGGCGGGCAGGACTCCTGCCAAGGCGACAGTGGGGGTCCATTATTGGTACAATTGCCCAATCGTCGCTGGGTCACCGTCGGTATTGTCTCTTGGGGTGTGCGCTGCGGTGAAGCCAATCGTCCTGGCATGTATACGAGCGTTAACCATTATATGCATTGGATACTCGAAAATTCGGATATTTAATGTCGTTAAAACATCTTAGTTGTGTCCTTAAAAAGTAATATATTAAATAAAAATTTTGTCAATACTCGCTAAAGGATTTGCTTTCATAAAACAGTTTTAAAGTAACTAACCTATAACATTATTATGTATGTATATTTTTAAAACAATTACAATTTAAAAATAGAGATACGAATAATGGTGTATTCGTATAATGCTTAGCATTAACTTATCGTTTAATTCGCAATTTTGGTTTTGTTTCTGAGAACACTTTCTTGCCGAAGACTAATTGGGAAAAGCGATTTTATATACATCCTCGTAGCTGGTAGCAAAATGCACTTCAATACCATCGGTAATGTAGGAAGGTAGCTCAGCGAAATCTTTTTTATTTTCCTCAGGTAATATTATGCAAGTAATGCCTGAGCGTTTTGCCTGAAAAATATATACATATAAAATTATCAACTATCACTATGTAGAATAACATGTTAAACTTACAGCAATAGTTTTCTCTTTAATGCCGCCAACGGGCAACACTCGTCCTTTAAGGGACACCTCACCAGTCATGGCTAAATTTTGACGTACTGGACGATCCGTTGCCAAAGATATTAACGCCGTTACAATGGTTACACCAGCACTAGGTCCATCTTTAGGTGTAGAGCCTTCTGGAACGTGTAGATGAATGTGCCTACAAAATATAAAGCTTTTAAATTCCTTTCAGAGTCTACGAATAGATTTTTATAGACGTCTACCCTTTCTCCAGGAAAGTATTTTCAGACTTAACATCACGCAGGTAATTTCGCGCCACTGTCAATGCGATTTGTGCAGATTCCTTCATAACAGTTCCAAGATTTCCAGTGAGATGTATTGAACCACTAACATCATCGTCCTTTGTGAGTTTGCCTGTTTTACGTGGAGCTGTTTCAATGTAGAGCGATGAGCCGCCCATCGCGGTCCACGCCAGACCCATAACCACGCCGGGAGGTGTATCTTTGTACATGCGATCCGATGAGAATATATGTTTCCCAAGGAACGTAGTCAGATTGTCAGCCGTAATTGGGAAATGGTTGCCTTCCTTTTTCACAAAGCGATAAGCTACCTTGCGAACAATCTATAATGATAGCAACGTCAGAAAATAAGTGATATAGGAATCGTTCATTTTCATACCTTCTCAATATGCTTTTGGAGATTTCTTACACCCGATTCCCGGCAATAGCTTTTAATGAGCGTTGTTAACGCCTCATCATTAATAGTTATATGATCGCCGGTTATGCCACAGTCACGCATCGCCTGTGGTATCAGATACTGGCGTGCAATAGCCATTTTTTCTTCTGCGACATAACCGGACATCTCAATCAACTCCATACGATCACGCAAGGGTTCTGGTATGGTATCGATAACGTTTGCTGTGCAAATGAAGAGCACGTGAGATAAATCCACGGGTACATCAAGGTAATGATCGAGGAAATTTGCGTTTTGTTCGGGATCAAGGAGCTCAAGTAATGCGGAACTGGGATCACCTTGGTAGCCCCTGTAAGGCGGAAACATAACATCAATTAATAGCAAAGACTTTAATATTATAATTTATTTCCGTGCCAACTTACTTGCCAATTTTATCGACCTCATCGATCAGAACCAACGGATTTTCAGTCTTAGTTTTCTTTAAGCACTGTATCAGTTTACCGGGCATTGCGCCTACATAAGTACGCCGATGACCTTTGATTTCTGCCACGTCAGTCATCCCGCCAACACTGAATCGGAAATATTCACGATTTAAGGCGCGTGCAATGGAGCGAGCTATAAAATGCCAACGATTAGTTTTAAAGCCATAAGGAATAATTATAGCAGTTAATACCAATACTTGTTTTTCCCACACCCGGTGGACCATGGAAACAAAGAATTTTTCCCTGAGTGCTGCCTTTCAAGTGGCTTACTGCGATGAATTCCAAAATACGTTTTTTTATATCCTCCATACCGTAATGATCATGATCTAGGATTTCCTGCGCTTGTTCCAAACTTAAATTTTCCGTACTCGTAACGCCCCATGGAAGCGAAGTTAACCAATCCAAATAGTTACGCGTAACACTGTTAACAATTAGCATAGGTCAAATAATTTTTGTAAGCCCTGAGCAGAGGTTTTATGTATTTACTTGAATTCTGAGCTGTGGCTTTCCAAGAAGTTCAGCTTATTCAATTCCTCATCAATGACAGTCATGACATTTTCGGGAACTGTTTTGTCTTTTAACTTTTCGCGGTATTTCTCGCCAATGGCATCCTTGTCATCTTTTTCTATGCCCAATTCTTTTTTGATTACTTTCAGCTGTTCTTGGAGTATATATTTTCGATGCTGTTGCTTTACCTTTTCTTCAACTTCACGACCAATTTTCTGTTGCAATTTGGAAAGTTCAAGCTCTTTTTTTAGCAAAGCCAAGGCAAGCAATAAGCGCTTAGGTATCTGAAACAGCATAGAAATTGAAAGATGTGAAATGTTAAATACGATATACATATACATACATATACCCGTGTAATAATTATAAGCGCACCACAAATTGGCAAGTTTTCAAGTTTATTTTTTGTTATTTTTTTATTAAAATTTGCATAGTTTATTCTTTAACTAGACCGCATAGGCGCCAGTTTCAAACTTTGTGCAATGTTAAAAAAAATCAACAATCTTTCGTAAATATTTCTAGCTTTCTAATTAGGGAGACTTTGAGTGTGAAGTTTTGTAGCCCATTCAAAATTGTGAAAAAGTCAACGGTAGGTCCTCGCTACAAAGTTTGAAAAATGTATTTATTCGGATTTCGTTTAATTAACTGTATTTTTATAAAAAAAATAACCAAAAAATAAAGAAATTCTTAAAACTTTTTAACATGTGGTGCGCCGCGTGTTTATAAATGTAAATTTGTTACTTATGCCTGGGTCACACATGTGGTATAGAAATTATAATATCAAGATTGTAGTTTGCCGTTGCTACTTAGAAACTACAATGATTTGTAGCAACACACGTGCGGTAAACATCGTAATATTGATTCCATACTACAATGAGTGTCTCTAGCACTACAAAAGGTTACGACGTTACTCACATCCATTTCCTCCATTATCTTTTGCAGTTCCTCAGGCTCTGCAGCGGACAGCGATGCACCTAAGTCACACAGGTAAACTGGATTATCGACAACACGTTGATTTTGATGCAACATTTGCTGCAAACTCTCTCTGTGGTGAAAATAAAATATTAATTCTTTAAAAATCAATATATGTATTTAATCTGATCTCAAGCTACCTGTACAAAGGATTCATTGTTATAATATCCCTGATGGTTTTTATCACTTCCTGAGTGAGTGCCTTAACCTCCTCGGTCTGTTTGTACTGTTCATGCTTAACATTTTCCACTTCAACCATGAGCACAGGTTGTGGGACGGTTCCAGTTGTTGGTGGCACTTGCGGTGTTCCCGCTGAAGGTGGTACAGCATTTCCAGCTGGTTGGGCTACTTCTTCTATTTTCTCAGTGGGCACCTTAGCACCTTGAGTAACATCGCGTTTGGATATACGACTCGAGCGCACTTTGCGCGCCAATTTACGTCGTTCCAATTCGTTTTGTTGTTCTTCAGCTGGGATGTTCAATTTTACATTAAAGAGTGGAAAATGTATTGTCGTCTTCTTCTCTGAGTGGAGAGCGTTGTGACGAAATATTTTCTTATACATAATGTCACAAGAGCACCAAAGTATATGATAGGAGTGGGAAAGGTTCGATTGGGTTGTAGGCAAGGCACATTAAACAGGTAGTATCAGTAGAGCAAAAACAACATTTGCGTCTATTTTGTTGTTGCTTCTGGTATCGAAAGTGTCAACAACTGTTCTGAATTTTTTCTTCTAAATCAAAGCGTGCCTTGTGAAATACAAAAAATTATAAAAAATAAAAAATTGAAATTGGAAAAAATAAAAATTGATGCAACTTTCTTTCCTAGTAAATTTGTTTGCTTCTCGAATCATTGATCCATCCTTTGCAAGGCCCAGTAATCAGCGGTCGTGCTGCCGAGTTGGGCGAACGTTCCAAAAGCTGCTATTCAATCGCTTGTTTTGTATGGAAAAAGGTTTCACAAGCAAATGGATTTTAACAACTTATAATTTTCGTGACAAAAAATTAAAAATATTTGACATTTTCGAGACCAAATAATTTGAAAATAAATCAAATCAGCTGCTCTACTGATACTACCTGTTCAATGTACCTTGGTTGTAGGGAATTTGCGTTCGAAGTGATAGGCTTTGTGTTAGCAGCATGTGGTTAAGGGTTTTGGTTATTGTTTGAATGCAACAATGTCATATACATACATAGTGTTTTTAAATAAATAAATTTAACACTTTGGCAGCAACGCGCAATCAATAGATTGCGCTTGTAAGCTTCATTTTGTTGCACTCTCCTTTCCCACTTACGTTATTTACGGAAATTTTCGACTTGAAATTTATAGTTCTTACCTTTCGGTGTAGGCACGAGGTCCTCTAAAAGCTGTCCAGTTATTTTAACGCGTCTATGAGCCACAACGACCATACGTAATTTATCGCCCAAATCTTGAAGTTCCTGTATTTGCGCAAATGTACCAACACTGTACACATCATCAAGTTTTTCAACAATTTCCGCTTCATTTTCATTGTCCTTTTTCATGAATACACCCACATACGGTTGATTTAACTTTACCTTGCGTCTTATCAAATCAATTACCATTGGATGCGAAACCTGAAATTATATAACACGTGTTAAAGTAATGTATGCATGTATAACTTAAAATAATTATGTATGTTAGAGAATTTTTAACGGGATTGGCATTCGTAACGCACTTCTAGAATTTTCATAAATCGCGGAAAGACTGGATTACGACGTGTTGCCAGCAGCGGCAAATGCGGCCATACTTCCGGCACTGCCACGGTCGCCGGTAACTGAGGGCCCTTATTTACAATGTACTCCGATGTTTCTACTTCTAAATCCTCCTCTTCATCTTTTTTTCGACTTGTGCAATAATTACGCGAGTTAACAGTCACCGTTTGGAGCACAAACGCGCCGCTGCTGGCGTCGAAGCGTCGCTGTACCGCTGCATATCGCCAATTGGAACGTGTTAGATAAAGTTTAGCATGTTGCTCTTGCGCCACTAAGCTACCAACGCTGCGAGTAAATGTGCGGTGTCGAAGTAAACGAGAAAGCATTTTCCGACCACAATTTCAAATTGTTTAAAGCAAATTGCACTCCGAAAATAATAAAATATATCAGATCTGAAAAGGAATATTTTTACTCAACGGCGCTGGCTTCTATTATCACTTGTCAGAATGAAATGACATTTAAAATCAGCATGACAGAAACGTCCAGAAAAAAGTTCCATTGAAAATCATATGGGCAACAGTGTTTAGTAGGCAGATAGTGACGCAATAGTGAAGCATGTTTTGAAATACAGTTCGTACATTTTAACCTGTCTATAGTATTTTTGCTAAAATATTAAGTTCGGAATAGAGCATCAATTTTATGATATCAATGGATAAATAGTTTTAATACAGAAAATACGAAGTTAGCTTGACCGGCAAAACGGCGGTATAGCTATGTTTAGTTCTCCTTCAGTCATGCACAGTGATGGTCAGTATAAAAGTTCCAAATATTATTTCTATTCAAAGCGGGATCTACAGTCAATTAATAAAGTTTAGGTACAGCGGATTCTTTGTAATTCGGGGAACTGTTAATTATTTTATGTTTCGCACATTTTTTATAAAAATATGGGTAATTATACAACAACAACTCTAAAAATCAGAGTTCCTAATCTTTCTTTAGAAATAAATTGAGGTGCAGTTCTTTATACTAGGTTCACATATAAGTAATCTGTAATTATAACAAGATGCGATTGTTTTTGCGAAAGAGAGGAGAAATGCCAAAGTAAACAAAAATGTACGCTAGCAAGTAAAAGAGGTTTGTAAAAGTATTTTTAATAAAATGTTAAGTTAAAATATATATTTATTGCTTACTATAGCAGAAAAACGTGATCACGGTGGCACAGAGAAGAAACATAACTTTTCCTTGAGATGTGAGAATAACAAGCGCAACAAATTTGACGGCTAATAATCTGAGATTTGCTTGTGTAAACGGGGTGATTAAAAAACGAGCTTTAATTGAGATAATATTGATATGTGAACATAGTTTTACGCCATTCAAGTTTATAATATTAAAGTACAAGTCAGAGCTAGGAATTCCCACTGATTTTACATGAACCAAAAAGACAAGATCACGCGGGAGTAGCCCGTTAGAATCGCATTTAGGAAAAAGTTTAACGATTTTGACATTAGCCGTTTGTTTACATTTCTTCGTTGTTTACAATTTGGTGGTGGCTTTTTACTGCAATTTTCTTCATTTTCGCCTGTGACAACATGTGTACAAATAAGGTAAAGAATAATTTAACACAACGGCATAATTTATAGAAGAATTTGCATAATAAAAATGATTATTCATGCGTTCAACAATTTCGCGGTTTTTTCCGTTCTCTTCGTTGTTTACTTCTTACAACAAAGATGGCGCCGAGATTTCGGCAGCTAGAAAATAACTTTTTTCTTTCTTTCCTTCCCGCGTGATCTTGTGTCTTTCGTTCATGCAGATTTAGGCAAATTTTTTTGTTGAAGGTGTCGGGAGATCCCAGGTTCAAATTAGGGATGCAAGTCAAAAAAATACATCGATGTTTTATTTCGATTCGATACATCGAAATATAACATCGATGGATATCGATGTATCGTTTAAAAACATCGATATTTTCGATGCATCGAATGAAAATATCAGCAGTTTCTTTCAGTTAAAAATATACAACAAGAAAATGAAACCATCATTACTGCGATAAGTCTATAACTCACAGTGAAATCTATTAATTGATTTAGGGCCAGTTTTTCAGTGCCAGTTTAAACTTAGATTAAGTAAACTGAGTTTAAATTGAACAGCTGGCTGGCATTTGATTGGCTGATCTTAGTTTAAACCAGCCAGATCGGGCGTTTAAACTTAGTTTAAACCACGCCCGTGCACTAAAAAATTAGCCCTTAAAGAGTTATAAATCCCAGTTTTTTCTGTTCCTTTGAAAAGCCTTCGAACAAAATTTTCAGAAGGTACGGAAGTGACGACAATTGTTTAATGTTTATAACCATAATGAAGTATTAGCGCGTAAAAAGTTGTATGAACGACCTATCGCAACTCCGGATTGCAAATGAAAAATTTTTGTAAAATGCCGCGCGTTAGAATAAAATAAAAACCTTTGCAATTATAGGAGCGTTCCTTATCTCCCAGAAATAGTCAGAAAAAGTCCGAAGTAGTCAGATTTAGTCCAAAAAGCGATCCTTAACTCGGAAATGACAGCAAAAATGAGAGAGCAACAGTCAGTGAGAGTGACTCTCATCAGTCCGAAGTAGTCAGATTTAGTCAGAAGAATTTTTTCTGGCAAAATCCTGAAAAGTGTCAAACTCAACTGAATTTAAATTAACGGAAATTAAAGAATACGCTAAAAGTGAGAATAATCTAAAAAGTAAAAGAAATGAATTGAAATTGGAAGAAGGCAAAAAATAATTGATATAGCAAGTGTTTATTATGCTTGTGCTTGTGTGAATGTGTTTTGTACGTACATTTCTGTTCTTATTTGACGTTAGTTTTGTTGTTGCCATTCTCTGGACTAAAAATTTGGTTTTTTGCGTTCCTTTACTTTTCCTGTTATTCTCTTTTAGTGAGCGCATTTTGCTTACGCTCTGGCATTTTGACACTTTTCAGATTTTAGTCCAAAAAGATAAGGAATGAACCTTATATTTCGATGCAGCCTTAATAAGCTGTGTCGCAAGGTTGCAAATTTTGCGACAAATTCGACATTTGAAACAACTTTGCGACGTTTCATGAATTCCACAAATATAAAGTGTGCCAGCTAGCAATGACCCATGATTCAATAATACAAGGTGGTATCAATTGTGACAGCTCGATTTGGCACTGCACACACAGTAGAACGAGAAGAAAAACGGGAAGAAGCCCCATTTGCTTTTTATACCCGAGCGCACTTGTGCACAAGGGTATTATAACTTTGTTCACATAACGGTTGTTTGTAACAGGAAAAACGAATCGAGATAGATATAGACAAATGTATACATAAATTATCAGAATGAAAAGAGAAATCGATTAAGCGGTGACTGTCTGTCCGTCCGTCCGTCCGTCCGTCCGTCTGTGCACACGATAACTCGAGTAAAAATTGAGATATCTTAACGAAACTTGGTACGTGAACTTCTTTTGGGCGTGGGACGGATGGTATTGAAAATGGGCGAAATCGGATAATAACCACGCCTACCTCCCATATAACGGTAATTTTAAGAAATACGAAAACTGCGATATTTTAGTAACTACTGAAGATAATTCACTCAAAATTGATACTTACAATGAGTTTCAGACGGAAAACATGAATATTATAAATTTTTGGGAAATGGGCGTAGCCACGCCCACTTATGGTTACATATGTATATCTTGGCAACCGCTGCACCAATTTCTTCCAAACTGTTGTTGGCCTTGGTACAGCATACTAAATGGCTGAAAATTTAAAAAATCGGACAATAACCACGCCTACCTCCCATATAACGGTAATTTCCAGAAAAACGAAAACTGCGATATTTTAGTAACTACTGAAGATAATTCACTCAAAATTGATATTTGCAATGAGTTTTAGACGAAAAATAAGAATATTACAAAATTTTGGCAAATGGGCGTAGCCACGCCCACTTATGGTTACATGTGTATATCTTGGTAACCGCTACACCAATTTCTTCCAAACTTGGCACAGTTGTTGGTCCTGGTACAGCATACCAACTGGCCGAAAATTTCTAAAATCGGACAATAACCACGCCCACATCCCATGTAACGGTAATTTCGAGAAATACATAATCTTCGATAAATCAGTAAATATTGAAGCTAATTTATTCAAAATTGATGATTGCAACAATTCTTTACCAAGAAATACGTTTATGACATAATTTTGGCTTAGCACCGCCCACTTGTGATCACATATATGTATCTCGCGAACCGTTCTAGCAATTTGTACCAAACTCGGTGTGGTTATTGTGCTTGCCACATAAAAGCAAACCGTTGAAAATTGTTGAAATCGGACTAAAATTGAGGCCGCTTTTCATATAACGGTAAATTTCAGATATGCTTGAAATTTCAATATTTCGAAATTTAAGGACGCTAATTTACTTAAAATGTAAACACCCCGCAAACTTTAAACGCCTAAAAAATATATTAAAGGGGTCCGTAAAGTAGCATCAAAGTCATATTATGAATTTTTGCAGTGTTAAATAATAGTTGGTTGTCGTTTCAAGTTCTCTAAGCATTTATTTAAGCTTTTAAAGTTTTCGACATTTAACAATACGACACTTACGACACCTTTGTGAATCCCTCAAGTATATTCGTAATGAAATGAAATAAAATAAGATAAAATACCTTTTTTAAGAAAAAAAATGTGTATACTGAGAAAAAATTAAAAAATATTCAACTATATTATTAGGCAAAGAATTGTTAAAGAAGTAACACTGTCTCACCTAAGGCAGTCAATATGGCGGAATTAGAGCGAGAAGCTGCCAACTGATAACACATGTATTATTGCATCATGAGCAATGACATTCTCAAGGCGAATTTATACAAGGTTGTGTTACCAAAGAATGTAGATAATTATGGAGCTGCGCTTACGACTGAGACGACGTTTAGCAACTTTAAATTAATAGTATAACCTGGCCCCTGAGGTTATAACGATACCTGGCCGTTTTTTAATGTCTGATGACATTGTTAATTAAAAAAATAAATAAATATTGGTATCATGAACCAACGACTACAGATCACGCAATCCGCCATCGTTGTATTTGTAATCGAATTTAAGAAAAAAGTTTTCGTAGTGTTTTTGATCACAGTATACCGTGGAAACACAATGCCGGCGAACGGCGAACTCGCCACAGCGAAATTACCGCTGTCAATAGGTTCATTCCTTATCTTTTTGGACTAAAATCTGAAAAGTGTCAAAATGCCAGAGCGTAAGCAAAATGCGCCCACTAAAAGAGAATAACAGGAGAAGTAAAGGAACGCAAACAACCAAATTTTTAGTCCAAAGAATGGCAACAACAAAACTAACGTCAAATAAGAATGGAAATGTATGTACAAAACATTCACACAAGCATAATAAACACTTACTATATCAATTATTTTTTGCCTCCTTCCAATTTCAATTCACTTTTTTTACTTTTTAGATTATTCTCACTTTTTGCGTATTCTTTAATTTCCGTTAATTTAAATTCAGTTGATTTTGACACTTTTCAGGATTTTGCCAGAAAAAATTCTTCTGACTAAGGGCCGGTTACTCAATGTCTGGTTAACACTAATCTGCGGTTAAACATAGTTATCGACGTTACCGACTCCCTGTT